ACCCAACTCATTATTGGCCCAAACTTGCTATAACTTGCAATAAGGAATAACCTTTGTGTGTGACCCATTAGGCCCAATTAGTTACTGACATAAATAAACTTGGACCAGTTAAACTCCTTTAAAAGGGTCAATCCATTTAATGACTACATGATACACTAGCAATGCTCTGTAGCCCCCGAACTAATTGAGTTGATCAAGTGATCTACCTTTCTGATTTGGATACTGTGCCAGCATTATCCCTCACATCGTCATTCATATTTAGTCGAGAGCAAGGATAGAGTATCATCCTTCTTTATTGACTAAATATAATATTTCACAAGAACTAGAAATCTTCTTCTATTGACTCTAAGACAGATCATGACTCTTCATGATCTCTTACTATGCATAGATTCTCGAGTAAACTAGAAGTCATCCTAGCCCTACCGGTCTTTGTGAACGACTATCCTTTCAGCATGTCCATCTATACTCATGTATTCGAGTTATACCCAAGAGTACACTGTTCTCCCCATTTTCAGGCGAATAGAGTTGTACAGTAAAAGTATAACTCTAGGACATAGTATTTGATGACATCCTTAAGTCTAGGACGATCCGCACTACCAAACGATGAGAGACTTTACAAATCCAATGATACTCTCCATAATGAATCCTTGTGGAGTCTCTCGGCGGGTCAGTTCAGTGCTATCTGTTCACCAACAAATCCACCCACGACATCAGCTAAGGCATCACCATGTCTGCATTCTATGAGGTCTCTACCTTGTATCTCCATACAAGTAGATGATGTCGTACTAGTCTTCTTGAGATCACCAATACCCTTTCTTGGTGATTCAAGACTAGGAACAGATTTTAGGTAATAGACATTCGGTGTCCTCGAGTCCTCATGATCATGATCCCTATCATAGATCCCCGAGTGAACACCTGTTCAATTCCTAGGGTCTTTATCTTTAAACGCATATTAACAATAAAATATTGGCGAGACATAAATATGATAAAGATAAAGTTTGCTCAAATTTATTAATCATGAAATACTAAATAGAAAAAGGAGTTCATCTGATAAAATAGATTGTCTCTAGGACACCTATATACTAACAGGGAGGACAGTCATCAATGAGTTAAACTACTCCAATTATAGCAATTGATGCATTAGCAAATGATTATTTTGTGAGATGAATCTGATACCATTGTCTGGCGGGTTAAGGGAAGCCCATGGCAGAAGACCACACCACCAATGAGATAAGCTTAAATAACCATACCAATATGAGACTCAATCACATTTAAACATCCCAACAACAAGTAGTTTTATCTTTATATTATTTATTGTAAAGATTTTATTTGCTTATTTCTTTTTATTTTTATTTTTTTCAGGTATTCATATGGCTAATCACGTGATGACTTGAAGCAAAAGTTTTTTATGCTTTAGAATTCAAGATTATAGTAATGCTTAATATAGTAGCTTTGAAAATATTATAACTATAACAAAATCACTTTGTTACATGTGTACAAACATGGTGTAATTTGAGTCTTCTGTCATCCTTCTATTCTAAACAGTGATGTCCAAAAATATCTCCAAATTTTCTGTTACTCTTTCAATACTTTCTATTACATATAAGAAAATCATTTTAGTTTAATTTTTAGTCACCTGGTTTTCGATCTTTGCATATGGTCTTTTGCCGAGAATATTAAAGTAGCATCACGTATAATTAACAACAACATCAACATTATATGATATTAAAACCTGTGAATCACAATGGCTCTAATAATATTGGTAAAGAAGGATATTGAGTTATTGTACACCGCTTTCATTCCTTAGGAATTATTTAGCTCAGTTTTTCCATCAGATATCTTTGGTAAACAAATTTTTTGATTTTCTTTTTAGATATATACGCTTTTTTTCATAATTCGACCCGGGTAACTTTCGACGGTCGGATTAAAACAGTCATTGGCTAAATAAATTTATTGATTTTTGAGACAAGCGTAGATTATTTGAAAGAAATATAGTATAAAACCATTGAGAATTCATCATTTAATGATGATTTCTTATTATGATATCAGAATTAAATGATCATAAAATCACGAGCTCGAGTTTGATCTATACAGATATAGGAACTTTTATTGTTAAGTCGTTAGTATATGGTTTAGTTTCAGTTCCGGTAGGATGTTGGGGTAGTAGTTTGTATTGGGTTAATAGTTATAACTATACTTTTAGTAGAATGCAGGTTCATCTATATACATAGAATTTGGCCCCAGGTTCCTAGCAATGGCATAAGGTGAGATTATTATTATTCTTATATATATGGTGTGAATTTATTTTCTCTCTCTATTAATAAAATAAACGTAAGAGTCTAATAAAAAAAGTTGTTAGTATAAATACATATTGAGAAAGGTTATATTTACAAACTTTTTATTTACAAACTCTTACAAACAACACTCTGTCTGATTGGTCATACTTCAATCAAGAGTATATAACCAGTCATACTTAGTGTAATTTGTAAAATAAATTTGTAAATGGATAATTCCCCATACGTATCAGGTAAAAAAACTTGTTCGTTGAAGTGATGATATCGGTTAATGTTCATAAACTTGTTATATTCTATATTAAAATATAGTCATTTTGGAGTTGAAAGATTAAAAAATTATAATGATAAAAGTTAATATAATTCTAAAATAAATTACAATTCTTTAAATATTTTTTTAATCCCAAAATAACGCCGTTTTGAATTCACTACATGTAACGTCTGGCAACTTGCAAGGATCAACGATTGTCCCCACACATTAACACGAGACTTTTCAGTGTGCTTTGTCCTCACTCACACACTTCCCGGAAAAACTTCACAGGAGGTCACTCATCCCAGAATTGCCCCAAGTCAAGCACGCTTAACTATGCAGTTCTTCCGTTCTGGCTACGGAGAAGTAGATGCATCTTGTTAGTATAGGTAGTACCAATTAATTCTTATAAGCTATCACAAACTGTATCTTTCCATACCAGCACAGTCTCTGGAATCTCTCTCTTTCGGGTGTTGATTCGATTCATTCATGTACCCCCGTCGCTGGAAGCCTGCCAGGAGCCGCTCCTTGTCCATGCCCTTTCGCACCGGCGATCACTCCCCGCCCTCGTCAGCGCCCGGGATGTTACATGCCCACCAGCTTCCGCCTGGTTCGTCCTCGAACCACACCGTACTAGAAGAGAGGCCCTGCTCTGATACCACTTGTAACGCCTAGCAACTTGCAAGGATCAACGACTGCCCCCACACACTAACACAAGACTTTTCAGTGTGCTTTGTCCTCTCTCACACACTTATCGGGAAAACTTTTCAGGAGGTCACCCATCTCAGAATTGCCCCAAGTCAAGCACGCTTAACTATGGAGTTCTTCCATTCCGGGCTACCGAAAAGTAGATGCATCTTGTTAGTATAGGTAGTACCAATTAATTCTTATAAGCTATCACAAACTGTATCTTTCCATACCAGCACAGTCTCTGGAATCTCTCTCTTTCGGGTGTTGATTCGATTCATTCATGTACCCCCGTTGCTGGAAGCCTGCCAGGAGCCGCTCCTTGTCCATGCCCTTTCGCACCGGCGATCACTCCCCGCCCTCGTCAGCGCCCGGGATGTTACATGCCCACCAGCTTCCGCCTGGTTCGTCCTCGAACCACACCGTACTAGAAGAGAGGCCCTGCTCTGATACCACTTGTAACGCCTAGCAACTTGCAAGGATCAACGACTGCCCCCACACACTAACACAAGACTTTTCAGTGTGCTTTGTCCTCTCTCACACACTTATCGGGAAAACTTTTCAGGAGGTCACCCATCTCAGAATTGCCCCAAGTCAAGCACGCTTAACTATGGAGTTCTTCCATTCCGGGCTACCGAAAAGTAGATGCATCTTGTTAGTATAGGTAGTACCAATTAATTCTTATAAGTTATCACAAACTGTACTGTCCCATACCAGCACAGTCTCTGGAATCCATCTCTTTCGGGTGTTGATTCGATTCATTCATGTACCCCGTCGCTGGAAGCTTGCCCGGAGCCGCCCCTTGTCCATACCCTTTCGCACCGGCAATCACTCCCCGCCCTCGTCAGCGCTCAGGATGTTACACTACAGATAATTTTATCTCCGGCCACTTGATAAACATTCAACTCATTAAAATAAGGGAAAATATTTTATCATATTATAAGAGAATTATTTTCTCTTATTCGATTTTCGTATAACATTTTATTTTTAATAAATGTTGATCTCACACAAGATATATATATATATAGCATTAGAAAATTTTCGAAAATTAAAACCTTTAAAATAAACTAACAAATTTTAATATGAATTTAGATTGTGATCAAAGTTTATGAGTTAGACGAACCGGGTTGGCTTTATTGATCAAAGAATGATACTTGAGACAATTATATTAGAAGTACTTTGTTTACTTAAATAAAGCATATGTAATTAGAGACAACAGTGCTAACCCATCGCATTATCACTAACGCTAAATTCTCAATCTCTCTCATCTCACGTGTACAACCTAGGAGAAACCGTCATTAACAGACATAACCAACAACATTGCCAATTTGCCATATTCCCAATCTTCCTCTTCATCTTGATTTTTTTTTTCTTATTTTTTTTTTTTTTACTCAACATCTTTCTCTGGGCTTTTCGTTTATAACACAAATGAAATTCTTCTCTCCCCTTAACTCTCCCACGAGACATTTAATGTAACACGTTTATTGCATGCAGCTTCTACCACCACCGTCGGCCACCACATGGGTCTACATACCCGCCGCCACGACTCATCTCCAGGCCCCTTACCACCGTTGTCGCCATTATCAATTTCCGAGCGGCCACCGTCACTCCTCCACCACAACCGCCATGAATCCTCTCCCTGTCCCTTCCCTCCAATATCACCACCACCACAACCAACACCGCCAACATCAGAGTCACAAGACTTCCACCACCGTGGTGCCAGCCACCACCACAACCGCCGCGAATCCTTACCCGGCACCTCCTTCCCTCCCATGTCACCGCCGCCAACAACTCACCATTCCCGCCGTGAATCTTACCCCGGTCCCTTCCCTTCTCCCCTTTCACCATCATCCTCAACAACCCCACCTCAACCCCTCTTCCACACGCGCCGCGAGTCCTGTCCAAGTCCCTTCCCTTTCGCCACGTCATCGCCGCCGGAGACTAACCGCCACAACAACAACCTCTCTCAACTTACACGCTATGAATCCGATCCTGGTCTCCTTCCTTCCACGTCATCATCGTTCTATATCAAACACCATCATCATCAATATCATCATGTCTATAACAACCATAACAAACTCCTCTACAACAAGGATAACGACCTCGTTTGGCCGTTCCCCGAGCTCAACGGTCTTGATCACAACGACATAAGGGAAACCGCCTACGAGGTCTTCTTCACGGCGTGCCGGTCTGAGCCGGGATTCGGTGGCCGGAGCGCGCTCACGTTTTATTCTAAAAATGAGAATGCCGGCTCCGGCAACGGTGGAACGAGTCCCGGCCATGGACAAGTGTTGAAGACAAGTAGGGTGAAGCGAGCCCTTGGGTTGAAGATGTTGGGAAGCTCATTCTCCAGGAGAATGATGTCCTCCGGAGGAGGTGGTGGATGGCTGTCACCGCCGTATTCGCCGGTGGTTGACGGTAGCCCTCGGTCTCGTGCCGTGCCCCCGCGGCGATCAATGACTATGGCAGATGTCATGAGAGTGCAGATGAGGGTGTCGGAGCATAGTGAAAACCGGCTAAGGAAAACCCTCATGAGGACCCTTGTTGGCCAAGTAAGTTAACATATGCACATATTTTTTTTCTTGTCTTATACAATGAAATCAATTTTTCTTGTTGGCAAGTTTTGTTTGTTTATCTTGTTTTCCATTTTTCCCCGTCTTGTTTTGGGTGAAGTTCTCAATGTTGTTTTGGACTTTTGCTTTTTTATGTTTTTGTAATTTTACTTTTGCAGAATGGTCTTGAGAATAATCGTCAATGCCTAGTGTGATGAAATATATACCCAGCAAATAATTCCCTCTTGTTATTTCAACTTTTCAGTTAGTTGAAGGAATTGTTGACTAATCTTTGATACGAGTGTTGTGCAAAAGAAAGGCACCCCATTGCTAATTTGTTACATCCAATTATAGTGGTTAGACATATATAATATACAAACCATTGATGGGGTTATTATTTACAAGATTAAGTTGTCAGGTGAGATGATTGTTTATCATGGTATTAGAGCCTCTGTGATCGTGAGGTCATGAATTCAATCCTCACCGTGTCTCACGTTCTAGTGAAATTAAGTCAGTACAAGGTAGAACCAAACAAAATAGGCTTTTGCAATATCCACGCTTCAGACTCAAAGGATTCTTGCATGAGAGCGTGTGTTAGTACTATTGTTTATTTAAATTTGATTATTTTTTAGATTGATTTTAATCCCTCTAATAATGTATTTCTAGATCCGTACCTAGTTAAAACTTCAAGAGCTAGGTATTTGGTCATTTGACATTAAATGATTGGATATATTTTTGGTCTATGAAACCTATTTAACTTAAGTGTATGAGAAAATCAGATTGTCTGAGAAAAGTTTTGGATATAGAAAGAGGGAACTATGCCTCTTCTGTTTGCTGCGATTGATTATGCAGATTCTTACAACTGACATCTTAGTTCTCTAATCAAATATTCAGTCACTATTTTCATGTGTTGTGGATTCTTACAACTGACTTCTTAGTGTGTTGATGGAAATTGGAGTCATCAATGTGGATATAGCTAATTAATAGATTTAGCAAACAATGAATCTATTGAATATTTGATGTTTTTGTTACATATAATGTGCTAACATCTTAATGCTCTAATCAAGTATTCAGTCACCATTGTCATGTGCTGCGGATTCTTACAACTGACTTCTTAGTGCATAAATGGAAATTGGAGTCATCAATGAGGATAAAGCTTAAAATATAGATCAAGCAAACAGTGAAATTATCGACATATTTAAGGTTTCTGTTGCATATAATGTGCCAATTCTTGCTACACTAACTAAAAGTTATTATTTATGGTCTAATTATTTCAAAACACATTGAATTGCAGCTTGGCCGGCAAGCAGAAACTATCATCCTCCCCTTGGAACTCCTTCGACACCTAAAGCCTTCAGAATTCAATAATTTCCTTGAGTACCATTTGTGGCAAAAGAGACAGCTTAAGATTCTTGAAGTTGGGCTTCTATTGCATCCTTCAATACCTGTAGAAAAGACCAACACATTTGCCATGAACCTCAGGGACATTATACGTAGTGGGGAAGAAAAACCTTTAGACACTGGCAAAAACTCAGATACCATGAGAACCTTTAGCAATTCTGTGGTTTCTTTATCAATGAGAAGTCCTAATGGTATTCCCACTAACATTTGCCACTGGGCTAATGGATTCCCTGTCAACATTCACCTCTATATTTCTCTTCTTCAATCCATTTTTGATCCAAGGGATGAGACATTAGTCCTTGATGAAGTTGATGAGCAACTTGAGCTAATGAAGAAAACATGGTCAACACTGGGGATCAATAGGCCAATTCATAATGTGTGCTTCACATGGGTGTTGTTTCAACAATATGTAGAAACTGGGCAGATTGAATCTGATCTTCTTTGTGCCTCACATGCTATGTTGAATGAGGTGGCAAAAGATTCTAAGAAAGAAAAGGAGTCTTTGTATGTTAAGATAGTAATATCTGTACTCAGTTCATTGCAGGGATGGATAGATAAGAGATTGCTTAACTACCATGAGTATTTCCAAGGAGGGGATGTTGCACAAATTGAAAACCTTCTTCCTGTGGTGTTGTCAGCATCCATGATTTTAGAAGATGTTACAATCTCTGATAGAGAAGGGCAAGAGAAAGGAGATAAAACTATAGTGCATTCCTCTGAGGATCGGGTTGATGATTATATCCATTCTTCCCTGAAAAATGCATTTGAAAAGGTATGTATAATTGCCAGCAACCAATCCAAAAGACCGATATGTAACTGCAAGAATGCATAACTAATCTTCAATCCCTAATGGTGATTAAGTTAATGTATTTTATGCTTATTATTCTAACCAAACCAAACCTCTCCCCATGAAACATCGACTAGTCAGGGTAGAGGTGAGAAAAATCCTTGTATATAGCCTTATATTTTTTTCGCAAAGAGCCTGTTTTCTGTAATTGAAATTGTGATCTTTTAGTCACACAAGAGCAGCTATTTTAAAATAGTGAAATGTTGTTTTTTATGTTTGTAGATAATGGAAGCAGCGAATGCGAAATCTGTGGAATCTGAGACAAAGAAAGAAATAAGTGAAGTTATGCTTCAATTAGCTCAGGAGACTGAAAATTTGGCAATGAAGGAAAGAGAAAATTATAGTCCAGTGTTAAAGAAATGGTATACAATAGCAGCTGGAGTTGCAGCATTGACCCTGAACAATTGCTATGGACATGTGCTAAAGCAATATTTAAGTGAAATGACAACCTCAATGACAGTTGAGACAATTTTAGTACTGCAGAGGGCTAGAAAGCTAGAAGATATTTTGGTTCAAATGGTAGTTGAAGTCTCTGCTGATTGTGAGGATGGTGGCAAAACAGTAGTAAGAGAGATGGTTCCTTTTGAAGTTGATTCAACCATAATGAACCTTATAAGAAAATGGATAGATGAATCACTGAACAAAGTGAAAGAGTGTTTACAGAAAGCAAAAGAAACTGAAGTAAGTTTTAGCTTTGTTATCCTCATTCCTCCAAGGAAGGAAAACACAATATATTATGCATTTAGAAAATTATATTACATATTTTTTGGTTTTTAACATAGTTTACAAATTGTTTTTTTTTTCCTTCTATTTCAGACATGGAATCCCAAGTCTAAATCAGATCCGTTTGCAAAATCAGTGGCTGAGCTGATGAATTTGGCCAAGACAATTGTGCAAGAATTCTTTCAAATTCCAATAGCAATAACAGAAGATTTAGTTCAAGAACTTGCTGATGAATTACAAAAAATCTTGAGAGAGTACACCATGTTTGTAGCAGCATGTGGTAAGTTCTTTGAATTCATATATGCTAAATGTGTTTTCTCTAGAATGCTCCGAAAACTAGTTTGAATTTTGAAAAAGCAGATAGCTAAACCGTTTGACAAATAGTACTATCTAGTCACAGTGACAAAGAAGCAGCAAAATGTGTAGCATTCTGATATACTTTGTGTTGATCTAAATTCTCTCAGGTTTGAAAGAGAACTACATTCCCTCTCTTCCCCCATTGACCAGGTGCAATAGGAATTCAAAGTTCCACAAGCTGTGGAAGATAGCTACTCCTTGCAGTGTTAGTTGTGATTGTCAAAATCCAAACATATATGGAATATATGAAGCTAATCATCCTCATTCATGCACTAGCCGAGGAACACAACGCCTCTACATTCGTTTCAACACCTTACATTATCTCCTTTCTCAAATCCCATCTCTTGACAAATCACTCTCCTTAACCCCAAGATCAGTACTTCCTTCAAAAATTGGTTTCACAAACAGCTACAAGATTCAGGGTAACAATAGCTCTTCATACTTTGAAACAGTCAACACCTCAATCCTAGCAGCATGCCAGCATGTCTCGGAAGTTGCTTCATACCGTCTCATATTCCTTGACTCAAACTCTTACTTCTACGATACCCTTTATGTTGGTGATGTAGCCAATGCAAGGATCAACAATGGATTGACAATCCTCAAGCATAATATCAAACTAATGAGAGCAATTCTTACAGAAAAAGCTCAAGCATTGGCAGTGAAGGAAGTCATGAAAGCCTGCTTTGATGCATTCCTGATGGTTTTGCTTGCTGGTGGAACAACCCGGATGTTCAATGAGTCTGATCACCAGAGTATCAAAGAAGATTTTGACAGCTTGAAGAAGATATTCTACAATTGTGGAGAAGAATTGATAGCAGAAAATGTGGTGGAGAAAGAGGCTGAGGTAGTGGAAGGAGTCATAGCATTGATGGGTATGAGTACTGAACAATTGATGGAAAACTTTAGTCATTTATCCAGTGTGACAAGTGGGGTAGGAGTCATTGGTAATGGGCAGAAGTTGCCAATGCCTCCAACTACTAGAAAATGGAATAGAGGAGACCCCAACACAATATTGAGGGTGTTGTGCTATAGAAATGACAGAGTTGCAAATCATTTCTTAAAAAGGGCATTTCAAATAGCAAAGAGGAGATGACAAACAAAGAGGCATATCAATATTGTTTCTCTGGGTAAAGTTAAAAGAACATTGTGGACATTGGGAATTCAAATGTAAGTGGTGAAGTCTCATATTTGTTAGGAATGAAACTAAGTCAGGATATATAAGTGGAAGAACCCATAACTTTATAATCAAAGTTTTGTGTTGAGATGTAATGTCGAGTCCACTTATGTCATTCTCACCTATTCCGTTTTTAACTAATATGAAACTTTATTACTCACACTTGAACTTCCAACTGTGGTTTCGTAATTTTTGTTGGAAGGAGGAGGGGTTTGTGGGGGCGAGAGAGGATTGTACTAGAAAGCATAGTAAAGGTGGTGGAAGGGAGAAATTTTAAGGGTTCAAGAAAGAACTTTCATCTCCAGGCATTTTCAACATTCAAAAAACTATTGCTGACTGCAGAGTTTTTGCTGAATTGCGTTTCTGTTGAAAGAAATTGTTTTATTGTATTTCAAAAAAAAAAAATTGTTTTATTTTTTTAGGAAGAAAAGGGAGAAGGAAAGAGGCACAACTTTGCCATGTAATTGGTAATTTGGTATACATTTAGTCTAGGAGTAGTTTGTAGAAGAATGTTGCTCCCAGTTATATTAGTCTACATGTGTAGAAGACAAATTTTTTAAATCCATGTACACTCAGACAGAAGGAGTTTTCCAAAAGCCCTTCTCGCAATAGGTAATGAGCAAAAGTGTATATGAAACGAGTACTATGCTCTGGCAATAGTTATATTACTTCGAAGGGTTTAGTGTTTCTCTTATTCACAAGATGTGATTACTTCTTATAATCTCATAACAACATTGTTGTGGTGCTAGAGAAAAAAATAAGGCATTGTGAAAAAAATTCATGCTACAACAGGAAAGTAAAATTTCTAAAATAATGGTAATTTTTTTTTTAACCTAAAATGAGTTGCGATATATATATATATATACTCTCGTTATACTCCCAAACTCTACCGTACGTTGAACATATTTATTACTTATTAGAACCAAAACTGCAAAACAGAATAATTGTTTATACATGTAATTGAAAGCTTGTGTAAGTTGTAAGTAACTCCAAAATATAATAACTACATAATAAAATTGCCCTATTAAATTTAATAGTAACAATTTCTTCCATCCTCGTATCTGAATATATATGTATATATAAAGAAGCTTATTACCCTATGGATCTTCAACATAACCACAAATTAACCTGAATCTTTTTCTTCCTTCTTGACTCAATCTATCAAGCATGGCAGAACACATTTTTGTTCGTAACATCATGATTGTGTTGTTGCTGTGCACATTAAGTCAAAATGCTACATGTCAACAGATTCTTCCCCAAAAACAAGGGGTTACACATAAGTACTTCTGGCATGGGTATGAGTTACCACCAGAACCTCGTGAAGGGTATTATGGAGATTTGCAGCGTTGCATCAATGTGCTAACAGACAAATGTGGTGAAGAGATGCTTGGTTACATATTCTATGCGATACCGGGTTTGACTTTGAGCAATGAATGTTGTCATCAATTGATTAAAATGGACAAACCATGCAACAAGAATTTGTCATATACACTTTCTCATATTAAGGAATTTCAAAGATGGACGGGACATATTTATAATAGGAGTGCTGAAGCTTATGATAAGTGTCTCAATAAACAAAACCAATAAGCTAGTGATGGCATGAGAGTTATTGTGGATGATTTAATAAGCAAATCAAGTTCAATGTTTGATTTTCCTTTTATTCAATGTGGAAGTTACATAAAAGTTCTTTTTTACTTAGTTTTTGACACAATTGTGTTTGGAATTCAAACTCGTGATCATTGATTAAACTAGAACAATTGTTTGTCAATTGATTCAGTGCATAATGATTCCGGCACTCTCTTTTAAATAGCCCTGTTAGAAATACAATAGGCATGATAAATCTAAACAAATAATGGAAATAAACATATTAGTTAAAGTAAATTTGATGAGCTTCCGGAAATGAAAATTGAATTTTAACTCGTTTTATAATAGAAAGATGCGTTGCTAAAATATGTCCAGTAATCTTATTATTAAATATTACAAAAAAAAAGATTATAATTTTCATTGATGGGTGCAGATTTAGAGCTTTTTTACTATAAAGATTGAGGAAGGTTATACTTATAACTTTTTTTTTACAACCTCTTACAACCACATGTTAACACCATTGATTTTCGTCAATCAACAGTTATCATTTATTTTGAATTAATAATTAATTAATGAGTTTAATTTGCGAAAATCATAACCATTAATTGACGGAAATCAACGGTATTAATATATGATTGTAAGAGAATGCAAAAAAAAAAGTTGTAAGTATAACCTAACTCATAAAAATTATATCAAACATTTTATCTAATTTAGATTTTTTTTTTGTTTGGTAACAGACAAGGGCTAAGGCCCCAACTAAAAAGAAAAAGAAAACAGCAAAGAAAAGATTAGACCGAGACGAATTTAGCATGAGATACAAATCCTAATTCTGGAGACACCCGCTGCATCAGACTGCAAATAAAAACCAAGTGTTGACAAATGTTGGAAGTGCCACACAGAGTCGGCAAAACAGGCTCGGTTCGGTGAGCCAATCTGCCCAACCTGTCAAATGGGGCGGGGTGGGTTTATTTTTTGGCGGGTTAATGACGGGCATAGGCAGACTGAGGCAGATCAGTGTAAAATAGGTTTGGGCTGGCGGGCCAACCGCCCAACCCGCCAAACGAGGCAGGACAGACTGAATTTTTCAACCCACTTTCAAAAGCAGAGCAGGGCGGGCCGCCCACTTTGCCACCTCTAGCCACCTCTAGCCACACACCATCCAACTCAAAGTGATCCAGAACATAATTAGCTAGGTTAAAAGCTCATGTTAATTGATATAATCATAAGCACACGGTAATCTAATTAATTTTTTTTAAAAGAAATAAATATTTTAAGTTAATTTTGATCTAGGCTAAACAATACAATATTAGAGTATATTAAAAGCAGTATAAGATCAATGCCTCTTTGACCCATTTGGGATTTTTACCATTTTAATTTTTCAATTTGTTATTTGATTCATAGTATTTATCAACTAGGGTCAGTAAGTGATGCGAGGTGGACCAAGCGGTACTAAGTGCCGCGGACCTCCTCCCACGTCACTCACATGTTCTTTTATTTTTTCTAATTGAGTGACGCCCCCTCTCTCTTGGGGCACTCGAAGGATTATGTTAATAGACATAATCTCGTTAGTCCCGTTATCATAAAATTTTGGAAAATTATAACTTTTGACTTGAGTATCTAAATCAAATTTTTTTTTTTTAATTTCACATAACTTTTTGAGATCTACGCAATGACATCTCATTTGACATATGGTATCTCTCCTAAACATAGTTCAAATTTGTAAAAAAGTGGAACTATTGTTGTAAATTTGAACTATGTTAATGAAAGATAAAATATGTCAAATGAGGTGTCATTGTGTAGATTTCAAAAAGTTATATGAAATGAAAAAAAATCATTTGATTTAGATATCCGAGTTAAAAGTTATAACTTTATGAAGTTTTATGATAACGGGACTAATGAAATTATGTCACATGGCACAATCCTACGAATGCGTCGTGGGAGGAGGGCGTTACTCAATTAAAAAAAATAAAAATAAAAAAATATTTGAGTGACGTGAAGGAAGGGTCGCGACATTCAATGCTGCTCCGTCACTAAACAATCCTCTTTAATAAATAATAAATATCGTGAATCAAATAAATAAATTAAAACCTCGACGGGTCAAAGAGCCTAAAAAAGAAACAATCCTCTTTAATAAATAATAAATATCGTGAATCAAATAAATAAATTAAAACCTCGACGGGTCAAAGAGCCTAAAAAAGAAACAATCCTCTTTAATAAATAATAAATATCGTGAATCAAATAAATAAATTAAAACCTCGACGGGTCAAAGAGCCTAAAAAAGAAACAATCATCTTTAATAAATAATAAATATCGTGAATCAAATAAATAAATTAAAACGTCGATGGTCAAAGAGCCTAAAAAAGAAGGGAGTTACTAATTTCATGTTGCTTGAGATAGTTCCCTCATGTGTATGAGATAAATATATAGAGTTTACACTTTAAAACAAAAAGAAAAAGAGATGGAAAAGCTGACACAAAATTCAATGAGTGTATAATATGAAATAACTATCTCCAACCAAAAAAAATATTTTCCAAAAAAGAACGTAGAATGCAAAGAACATTAATTGAGAGGCTTTTTGACCCTTATGAATGCAAAGAACAAATATTTTCCAACCAAAAATAACGGATCTCCTAACTTCCAACCTCCGTGCAAGTCATCATCGCCATATAGGATCTCCAACTCGTCATTAGGGTGCGCCCAGTTAATGAATGAATAATGTTGGCTTTCATTCCAGAATGGCTCCTCAGACCCTGCATCTAAAGATCATGTCAAATTTAATAATTTACCACAAATAATAAATTGTCTAAAGCAAATATTCAAATTTAATAACTTACCACTACTGACTGGGTCGACATGAAGTGGTGACAAGGCTGGGGTACCGAGACTTACGGCGCTCATGTCAGCCTCAAAATTACCGTCCACGTCAGTGTCTGACGAATCACCTTCTGGAATAGCACTTTCAGGTTCTCCCTCATCTTCGCTGTCCACATAGTCCTCGTCTTCATCCTCTTCATCCTCATCCCATGCTACCTGAGGAGGTGCAGAAGATCGTACAACTGTATCTTCTTGACCGGTACAGTGTGCAGTAGTGGTTGTATGCACCGGTAAAGATGAAGATTGTCCAACATCAACTTCAACATATATCTCAATATATTTTAATACTTTCCATTCAACAAACGCATCTGTTACGAACTCCACATCTTCATCATCATTTATATCGTTTCCAATGTAGTATATTGTATCCATATCCACTACAGTCTCTAACCTGGCTATCATGCGGTGGATGGAATGTATGCCTTCTGACCCCATTTTTTGAAGAATTCTCTCCTTCAGTTCATTGCATGTAGTGCCCACTTTGATTTTCATCGTTTTTGTTTTTCCTTCAAATCGGACACCGTTCGGACCTTCAAAATGCCTCCCATTGTAGTAAACAACTATAGGAACCATGTTTGGACTTGAACTCATCTTTCACACAAAAATTAGATCTAGGTTTTGGGTTTGGAGGTTGGTTCGGATTTTTTAGCACAAAATGGGAGTGTGGAGATGTAATCTCAATGTCCCACCAAGATTCAGCTTTCTGAAATGATGAGATGAAATATGTGTGATGTTTCGGATTAGAGAGGGTAAGAGAGAAAGATTTTGGGGTTTCAAAAACCCTATACCTCGCAACAATGACCGAAACCCATACATATTGGGGTTTCTGGACGCGATTTACCCGGGTACACTGCTCTGTACCCGGGTAAATAATTCAAACATTTTCCCAGATTCAAGAACTCTACCCGGGTACACCCCTACATACTCGGGTAGATAAAAAGTTTCAAAATTTACCCGGGTAGGTAATGGTGTACCCGGGTAGGCTTCGTGGTCAACGGTCAAACAGGGGCAGATTGGTGTTATGTTTGTTGGGGAGGGTAAATTTTCCAAAATAGTTTTGAATGAGGGGCAATTTAGTAATTAATTATTAATTAAGGGGCATAAGGGTCAAAAAGCCTTAATTGAGATCACAGATGTTTCAAAAGTCTACCGTAGACCATTGAATGTGGGGTACACCCATAATTCACGGAAGTCATTGGAGCGGTTCAGATATTAGTAGAAGTTTATAGTATATCACACTCTTATACTTAAAATAAATAAAAAAGTTAAAAAATGAAACGTCAGGGAAGGCAAAAAGGTCAACTCTGCGTTCTGTTTTGTTTACAAAATACACTGGTGTTTTCACACATCTGTATTTCTGAGTTGTTGCGCTGATTTTGAGCTAATTGATTTGAGTAAAGGTGAGCAATCATGGCAGGGCAAGAATCATTGTCGTCCTCTTCTTCCTTTAGCTATGGATGGAAATATGATGTTTTTCTTAGCTTCAGGGGTGAAGATACTCGTCACGGTTTTACTGGCAATCTCTACAAAGCTCTTCATGACAGGGGAATCCACACCTTCATTGATGATGAGGAGCTTCAAAGAGGAAAAGAAATCACATCATCACTTATCAATGCAATTGAAGAATCCAGGATTGCAATCACTGTGTTCTCTAAGAACTATGCTTCTTCTTCATTTTGCTTAGATGAACTTGCCCATATCCTTCACTTAATCAAGGAAAAGGGTCGGTTGGTTTTGCCTGTTTTTTATGACGTTGACCCTTCTCACGTGCGAAATCAGAGGGGTAGCTATGAAGAAGCAATGGCTAGTCATGAAGAGAGATTTAAGGACAACAAGGAGAAGGTGCAGAAATGGAGGATGGCTCTGCGTCATGCAGCTGACTTGTCTGGCTTTCATTTCAAATTCGGGTACTCAATTGAGTCACTTGGGTTTGTTAAATTTTAGTCTATTTTACGGTTTTTATGTACTTTATTTTGTGGGGTACTGAAAAGGGACTTGGAAGAAAAACGTGTTTATATAGTTTTTGGTTTACTTTATACATTTCTAGATTTTGGTATTCTTTATACAGTATTCTTTTATGTAGTTTTTGAATTTCGAAGAAAATAAATCGGCTAGAAAAGGAATAAAATCAGAAAATCATATGTAAAAACCAGGAATTGGGAATCTGAAAGATTGACTGATGTTGGTATCTGGGGTTTTAGAATATGTTGGATAGGATTGTAAAGATAAAATGGCCCTTCTGTTGTTTGATAGTGTGGTGACTAGTGAGGATTTGAGAACTTCCACTTAGAGGGAAATTGGGAAAATCAATCATCTAGGGGAACAACCTAGATCCGATAACTTTGCCTCGGTTTAGCCAAGTTAAGCTCATGCACTCTCACGAACTTGGTATGGGATTGTGTTGGTATCGTTCAACATCCAGAAACGTAGCTAGGAGCTGTGTTAAATTTTAATAGGATTAGATGATTCACTTTGAATTGTACGTTCTATATTATATACACACTGCGCTCTTTTTGTGATAGGAATATCTCTACACTTACCACTATTTACAGTGTTAAAATATATTTTATCTTACCTTTTTTTTTTTTTTCATTTGTCTAATCATTTCGATTTGATGTTAATCTGAATCAATTAGTATGATTTCACTCAATAATTGGGCAGGAATGAGAATGAATATGAGTTTATCGGGAACATTGTTAAAGAAGTCTCCAACAAGATTAATCGTGCTCCTCTACATGTTGCGGATTATCCAGTTGGATTGGAATCTAAAGTGCTAGAAGTAAAATCACTTCTCAATGTCGGATCTGATGGAGTCCACATGATAGGGATCCATGGTATTGGGGGAATAGGAAAGACAACAGTTGCTCGAGCCGTTTATAATGCGATTGCTGATTCATTTGATGCTTTATGTTTTCTTGATAATGTGAGAGAAAATTCAATTAAGCATGGATTAGAACATCTTCAAGAGACACTTCTTTCTGAAATAGTTGGGGAGAAAGATATTAAGTTTGCAAGCGTCAATAAAGGAATTCCAATAATAAAGCACAGGCTCCACCGAATGAAAGTTCTTTTGGTTCTTGATGATGTTGACAAACTGGAGCAGTTGCGGGCAACTGTTGGAGGGCTTGATTGGTTTGGTTCTGGCAGCAAAATCATCATTACAACTAGGGACAAGCATTTGCTAACAAGTCATGGGGTTGAGGAAACTTATGAGGCAGATGGTTTGGATAATAAAGAAGCTCTTGAATTACTGAGTTGGAATGCTTTTAAAACTGACAAAGTTGATTCGAGTTATGTGGACATTTTAAACCGTGCAATAACTTATGCTTCTGGCCTTCCACTAGTATTGGAGATAATAGGTTCCTACTTGTTTGGGAAAAGGATAGAAGAATGGGAATCTGCATTAGATCAGTATAAGAGAATTCCTAATAAAGAGATCCAAAAGATACTTAAAGTGAGTTTCGATTCTTTGGAGGAATATGAGAAGAAATTTTTTCTTGACATTGCTTGTTGCTTCAAAGGAAATCATTTAGCACATATCAAAAAATTACTTTATGCTCATCACGGTTTCTGCCCAGAATATGGTATCGGAGTGTTAATTGAAAAATCTCTCATAAAGATTATGCATGGAGATGTAATATTGCATGACCTGATAGAGGACATGGGTAAAGAAATTGTCCGACAGGAAGCACCAGAAGAGCCTGGCAAACGTAGTAGATTATGGTCTCCTGATGATATAGTTCAAGTTTTACAAGATAATACGGTAAGACTGGTACGGATGGTTTGGTTTTTCCAAATTTTACCTTTATTTATCTCATTTGATTATTATGTGCTAGACACCTAGATTACTATATTTATACCTCTGTTTACAATCTTTTGTTTACAGTGTTATATCATTGAGTGTTGTTTTCCTTTTATGATATGTAATCTTCTCTAAATATGCATGCCGAATTCCATACATATATATCATGTCTTACAGTTGACTTGTGTTTTTGTCTTGAAAGGGAACTAGTAGTATTCAAATAATAATGCTGGATTTCCTCAAATTTGAAGAAGTAGTTGAATGGGATGGAAATGCCTTCAAGGAGATGAAAAACCTCAAAACACTTATTATTAGAAAAGGTTGTTTTTCTGAAGGTCCCAAACATCTTCCAAATAGTTTGAGAGTACTGGAATGGTGGAGATATCCTTCACCATCTTTACCATCTAATTTTCATCAAAAGAAACTTGTGATACTGAAGTTACCCCAAAGTCACTCTATTTCAATTCATTTGCTCATGTCAAATAAGGTAAATATATTAAGTTCTTTTCCTAGGTCTTTTCTATCAATATATTCATTCTATTATAATTCATTTGATTCTCTTTCTCTCTTTTTTTTTTTTGTGGCAGGAGTTTGTGAATATGAGACTTCTGAATTTTGATTACTGTAAATGTATAACAGAGATACCTGATGTGTCTGGTGTCCCAAATTTAGAAGAATTATCATTTAGATTTTGTGAGAATTTAATTAAAATTCACAAATCGGTTGGATTACTGAATAAAATTAAAATCTTGAACGCTGATGGTTGCGAGAAGTTTAGGAGTTTTCCACCCATCAGGTTGACCTCTCTTGAAAAACTCCAGCTTTCATTTTGTCCCAGTCTTGAGAATTTTCCAGAAATATTAGGAAAGATGGAAAAAATAACAGAGCTTAGTATTTTTTACACTCCCATACAAGAACTGCCATTTTCAATTCAAAATCTCACTCGGCTTCAAAGACTACAGCTGACACGTTATGGAGGAGTTGTTGAGTTACCAAGGAGCATTTCAATGATGCGAGAACTTAAGGAGTTGAGTGTTGAGGGATGTGAGGGATTGCTTATATCTAAACAGGACGAAGGTGATGCACAAGTGAGCTCATTGGTGTTTGAGAACACCTTGGAAATTATCATTTGGCGATGCAATATATCAGACAAATTCATAAGAAAAGGTCTCCCTTTGTTTGGCAATGTGCAACAGTTAAGCCTAGCCTATTGTAATCTCACAATTCTTCCTGCATGCATCAAAGAATGTCTCTTTTTGAGAGAAATTCTATTATATTGTTGTGAGAATTTCCAGGAAATTGGAGGGGTTCCACCCAACTTAGAAACATTCACTACAAGAGAGTGCACATCCTTGAAAGATTTAGACCTCACACTTTTTCCTGAATGTTTGATGAGACTTGTTTTGCATAAATGTCAGAATCTTCAAGAAATTAGAGGGATTTCACCCAACACAAGAACTTTCCTTGCAACAGAATGCCCGTTCTTGACTTCCAAGTGTAGAAGCATGTTACTGAATAAGGTTGTTGTTTTCTTACGTTTTTAATTTGATAAATCATATATTTAACGTTGACTCAAATTATACACATGTTGCCAAATGTATGAATGAATTATGACTAACAGGAATTGCACGAGAAGGGTGCAGACAAAGTGTTTCTTTTGCAAGGAACAAGGATTCCAGAGTGGTTTGGGTATAGTATCAATGGACTGTCAATTTCTTTCTGGTTTCGTAACAAGGTCCCTGCGATATCTCTATGTTTTGCTTGTGGATTCGATGGAAACTATGCCACTTATAGGCTCAATATTGAAGTCAACGGCATTTCAAAAGTTCTTTTTGATAAAGGAGAGGGTTTCTATTCTGGTTGCGCAGCAGGGTTTTATACAGTTCTGTTTGATGTGAAACAGGAAAATTTATTACTTGATACTGTTCTTCTAGAAGAAAATAAATGGAATTATGTGGTGTGTACTATATCAAAGAACGAAGAAAACAAAAAAACTTCGTTTTGCCAACAAAGTGGAATCCATGTATTCAAACAAGAAAGCAGCATGGAGGACATTCAATTCACCGATCCACTGTTGCTGGAAGAAGAGCATAGATTGGTGGACATGAAGATTCTCAAAGACAATTTATGCAGCATCTAAAAAATTTTGCTTCATTGCCTTTTTTGAAAACAATAAATTTGGGACAGGGCATAGAGTTGCTTTCATTGCGTCCACCTCCAGCTTTGAAGAATATTGTGAATTGGCATTCAAATTCAATGGTATCAAAGCTGAGAAGTAGCACTCACAATTTCCAAGGTAAAATTACATTTGTGCCATTTCTTTCTCCGTATGCTTTCACTATTTCCGAATTTACTTGCCCTATATATTTTCCTTCTCATCGAGTAACTGGGCTTGAATGCTCACGTGGTGCATTATTAGTTTTTTCTAGAAGAAAGTATAAATAATTTCAATTAGTTTGTTTAAGTAATGTAAGAGAAATTGAATTCTATAAGATTATGAATTAGTATGGGTATATAAGGAAATAATATTTGTAAACTTTGATTTAACTTGTATGTTTATAAACTTTATCATCTCAACAGCCTGTGAAATTCATGTGGACTTTGACAATGAAGTCTGTGAACCTTGTTGTTGTTGTCCTGCTCCTTCAAAAGTGCCTTTGAATTCAGCAGTGTCATACTTTGTTAGTGGTGCTGCCAGTGAAGAAGGTAAACATTTTGGTGGTATTTATTTCTGAAGATATTGGATTTTCTGACCATAAGATGCAAATTGAGATTCAGATTCATGTTTATTTATTTATTGTCAAAATTACTATTTAAATAAAAAGAAGGTCAATTATAATGTCAATCCACAAAAGTTTATTCTCTTGATACTTGATAGTACCTCTCCCTAGATTACCTAACTTAATTTTCCGTGTTATGGATATTTATTCAGGCCCCAAGTCCCCCTTCATCATGCAGCAAAGTTGGTGGGGAAGAAATACACATAAAAACGTCTTGCAGTGTTGCCAACCACAACTGACGTGTCTTTCAGGAATAAAATTGAACCAAGTCAAGATGATGTAGAAACAGAAGCATTTTATGCTTCTCCTTAAGATGAGATCCGTGTTCTTTCAGGTTCGCATGAGAAAAGTTGTGTCTAGAAAGAGAGAACTTAGCCTTTTTGTTTGTTGTGGTTGATTATGTGATTCATACAACTGACATCCTAATGCTCTACTCAAACATTCAGTCACTATTTTCATGTGTTGTGGATTCTTACAACTGACTTCTTAGTGTGTAGATGGAAATTGAAGTCATCAATGTGGATATAGCTAGTAAATAGATTAAGGGAACAATAATCTATTGACATATTTGACATATTTGATATTTTTGTTACATATAATGTGCTAACATCTTAATTCTCTGATCAAGTATTCGATCAACATTATCATTTGTTGGGGATTCTTACAACTGACTTCTTAGTGTCTAAATGGAAATTAGAGTCATGAATGGGGATAAAGCTTCAAATATAGATCAAGCAAACAATGAAATTATCGACATATTTAAGGTTTCTGTTACCTAAAATGTGCCAATTCTTGCTACACTAATTAAAAGTTCTTACTTTTGGTCTAATTATTTCAAAACACATTTAATTGCAGCTTGGCTGGCAAGCAGAAACAATCATACTCCCCTTGGAACTCCTTCGACACTTGAAACCTTCAGAATTCAATATTTCCTTGAGTACCACTTGTGGCAAAAACGTCAGCTTAAGATTCTTGAAGCAGGGCTTCTATTGCATCCTTCAATACCTGTAGTAATTAAGACCAACACATTTGCCATGAACCTCGGGGACATTATACGTAGTGGGGAAGAAAAACCTTTAGACACTGGGATTATCAATGAGAAGTCCTAATGGCATTCCCACTAACATTTGCCACTGGGCTAATGGATTCCCTGTCAACATTCACCTTTATATTTCTCTTCTTCAATCAATTTTTGATCCAAGGGATGAGACATTAGTCCTTGATGAAGTTGATGAACTACTTGAGCTAATGAAGAAAACATGGTCAACACTGGGGATCAATAGGGCAATTCATAATATGTGCTTCACATGGGTGTTGTTTCAACAATATGTAGAAACTGGGCAGATAGAACCTGACCTTCTTTGTGCCTCACATGCTATGTTGAATGAGGTGGCAAAAGATGCTATGAAAGAAAAGGAGTCCTTGTATGTTAAGATTTTGACATCTGTGCTCAGTTCATTGCAGGGGTGGATAGATAAGAGATTGCTTAACTACCATGATTATTTCCAAGGAGATGTTGGACAAATCGAAAACCTTCTTCCTGTGGTGTTGTCAGCTTCCAAGATTTTAGAAGATGTTACAATCTCTGATAGAAAAGGGCAAGAGAAAGGAGATAAAACTGTAGTGCATTCCTGTGAGGACCAGATTGATTATTATATCCGTTCTTCCCTGAAAAATGCATTTGAAAAGGTATGTAATAGTCTGCAACGAATCCAAAAGACTGATATGTAATAGCAAGAATGTATAACTAATCTTTAATCCCTACTAGTGATTAAGTTAATGTATTTTCTGCTCATTATTGTAACCAAGCCAAATCACGCCTCATGAAACATTGACTTGCCTGGGTAGAGGTGAGTGAAATGCATGTACATAGTCTTACTCTTGTACTTTTTCGCAAGGAGACTGTTTTTTGTATTCAAAATCAGGACCTTTTAGTTACACAAGAGGAGCTTTATCACTTTTTAAGGCGCGCCCTATTTTAAGATAGTAAAATGTTGTTTTTGATGGTTGTAGATAATGGAAGCAGCGAATGCGAAATCCATGGAATCTGAGACAAATAAAGAAATAAGTGAAGTTATGCTTCAATTAGCTCAGGAGACTGAAAATTTTGCAGTGAAGGAAAGAGAAAATTATAATCTGAGTGTTAAAGAAATGGCATGCAATAGGAGCTGGGGTTGCAGCATTGACCCTGAACAATTGCTATGGACATGTGCTAAAGCAATATTTAAGTGAAATGACAACCTCAATGACATTTGAAACAATTTTAGTACTGCAGAGGGCTAGAAAGCTAGAAGATGTTTTGGTTCAAATGGTAGTTGAAGTTTCTGCTGATTGTGAGGATGGTGGCAAAACAATAGTGAGATAGATGGTTCTTTTTGAAGTTGATTCAACCATAATGAACCTTATAAGAAAATGGATAGATGAGTCACTGAACAAAGGGAAAGAGTGTCAGAAAGCAAAAGAAACTGAAGTAAGTTTTAGCTTTATCATCCTCATTCCTCCAAGGAAGAAGAACACAATATATTATGCATTTAGAAAATTATATCACATATTCTTTGTTTTTCAACATAAAAGAGTTGTTTTTTTCTTCTATTTCGGACATGGAATCCAAAGTCTAAATCAGATTCATATGCAAAATCAGTGGTTGAGCTGATGAATTTGGCCAAGACAATTGTGCAAGAATTCTTTCAAATTCCAATAGCAATAACTGAAGATTTAGTTCAAGAACTTGCTGATGAATTACAAAAAAATCTTGAGAGAGTACACCATGTTTGTAGCAGCATGTGGTAAGTTCATTGAATTCATATAAGCTAAATGTGTTTTCTCTAGAATACTCCAAAAACTAGTTTGAATTTTGAAAATAGCAGATAACTAAACTATTAGACAAATAGTACTATCTAGTCACAGTGACTAAGAAGCAGAAAAATGTGTAGCATTCTGATATACTGTGTTTTGATCTAAATTCTCTCAGGTTTGAAAGAGAACTACATTCCCTCTCTTCCCCCATTGACCAGGTGCAATAGGAATTCAAAGTTCCACAAGCTGTTGAAGATAGCTACTCCTTGCAGTGTTAGTTGTGATTGTGAAAATCCAAACATGTATGGAATATATGAAGCTAATCATCCTCATTCATGTACTAGCCGGGGAACACGCGTACGCCTCTACATTCATCTCAACACCTTACACTATCTCCTTTCTCAAATCCCATCACTTGACAAATCACTCTCCTTAATTCCAAGATCAGTAGTTCCTTCAAAAATTGGTTTCACAAACAGCTACAAGATTCAAGGTAGCAATAGCTACAAGGGGTAATTGTTTTAAGTTGATATGAACCTTTTGTCATAACGAGATGCCATTGTGATAACTGGAAACGACTAGCCAGATAACTCATTCTTTTATTCTTTAATATAGCTCAAGATATCAGTTAGCAATATTTTTTCCGTTGGAACGATAATCTGGGATTTAAACACTCTGCGTTATTACTTGATGCGTGCACTTGTGTGAAGTTAAAGAACGAATGTGTTTCTCCTGACTGTGTAAAAAGGACCAAAAGTCATAATCTTGGGAACGAATGTGTTTTCCTCAATAGACTGCAAGAGGACCCAACATAGGTGTAAATGGGACCGGCGGCTTTTCAGGGGCCTGTTGTTTAGATTGACCCGTTTTAAAAATAATACAGGTTTGAGCTCATTAAAAGGCCTGTTTAAAAATTAGGCCACAAGCCAATTTTAGTAGCCTTGACCTCTAGGCCTCCAAGTTTGGGTCATATTTTTTAATAGTGTAAATATCATTTTCGGTTCTCAACAAATTTTATGATGCCCGCTTTAGTCCCTAGCAAATAAAAAGGCTATTCGTGGTTCCTAAGAAATTCAAAGTGGACCCATTTTAGTCCTTTTGAGGGACTAATGTGGGTCTTTTTTGAATTTATGAGGGACCACGATTTCAACTAAATGGGTCCATTTTGAATTTCTTAGGGACCACGAATAGCCTTTTTATTTGCTAGAGACTAAAGCGGGCATCGTGAAATTTGTTGAGGACCAAAAAAGGTATTTACTCTTTTTAATAAATAATATATTATTATTTATTATTAAATTATTATTTTATTATTTTTCAATAAATAATATCTTATTATTTTTTAATTTTTGCAATATTTCCTCTTCTCATTTGGCAAATACATATTTTCTTAACCCTAATTCCTTCATCATCACTGCTTTTTTCTCTTCCTTTTTTGCCAAATTTTGCTACTCTTCTATCCCTTTCTCAACTTCTCATCCCTTGCAAACCATATGTCGCTTACCATCAACTCTCAAGACTTTCCTATGCAGGATGAGTCATCGTCATATACTATCAATTTGCTCATTTAAAGGTGCCTTAATCGATCAAGACATGCAAATTGCAATTATAATTGTAACACTCCCAAATTTCTAACAATTTATAAAACATTCTTATAATAAATAAATTGTCAAAATTTACGTTTTTATAATAATAGAAATATTGCGGAAGCTCATCTAAATCTAATTTGGGGAAAATGTTACCGCCACACCTGTACAGGGACAAGTGTAAGGCTAACTCTATTACATTCAAATAAAAGCAAAGACTACATTTTGATACATAATATTTATGACTAACTAGAAATATCAGAGTCGTTATCCCCACTGCTAGCCCCATCCTTTGGAACCTGTTTCGTTGAAACTCTGCTCCCCCGTAGGATCATTGCAACACAAAGACAAAGACAAACAATCAGCAAAGCTGGTACTCCCAATCCGATATACAAATATATATATATATATATATATATATATATATATATAACATAATAATCAAATCAAGTAATATAACTCAAAAATTCAAATCAAGTATCAACTCATCATTAATTATATTAATCTTTATTTAGTTCATTTAGTGGGAAGAGAACCAAGGTAGA